CACTATATCATACCTGTCTGTGCATCAGGTCAGGCACTACATCATACCTGTCTGTGCATCAGGTCAGGCACTACATCATACTGTCTGTGCATCAGGTCAGGCACTACATCATACCTGTCTGTGCATCAGGTCAGTCACTACATCATACCTGTCTGTGCATCAGGTCAGTCACTACATCATACCTGTCTGTGCATCAGGTCAGCACTACATCATACCTGTCTGTGCATCAGGTCAGTCACTATATCATACCTGTCTGTGCATCAGGTCAGGCACTATATCATACCTGTCTGTGCATCAGGTCAGGCACTATATCATACCTGTCTGTGCATCAGGTCAGGCACTACATCATACCTGTCTGTGCATCAGGTCAGTCACTACATCATACCTGTCTGTGCATCAGGTCAGGCACTACATCATACCTGTCTGTGCATCAGGTCAGTCACTACATCATACCTGTCTGTGCATCAGGTCAGGCACTACATCATACCTGTCTGTGCATCAGGTCAGTCACTACATCATACCTGTCTGTGCATCAGGTCAGTCACTACATCATACCTGTCTGTGCATCAGGTCAGGCACTACATCATACCTGTCTGTGCATCAGGTCAGTCACTATATCATACCTGTCTGTGCATCAGGTCAGGCACTATATCATACCTGTCTGTGCATCAGGTCAGGCACTATATCATACCTGTCTGTGCATCAGGTCAGGCACTATATCATACCTGTCTGTGCATCAGGTCAGTCACTACATCATACCTGTCTGTGCATCAGGTCAGGCACTATATCATACCTGTCTGTGCATCAGGTCAGGCACTATATCATACCTGTCTGTGCATCAGGTCAGTCACTACATCATACCTGTCTGTGCATCAGGTCAGGCACTACATCATACCTGTCTGTGCATCAGGAAGGTGTTCGACAACATAGTGAAGGTGATGACTATAACGGCTCATGAAGAAGTCTTTTGCCAACATCATACAGGGCATAATGTGGTGAGGCTCATATTGTAACATTTAGGGCAGAGTTGGTGACACCCCCGGAACTCTCTCCAGGTAAACACTGCACGTCAGGGTTTGTTTCATCCCACATAAGGCTCTTAGAATCTATGGTTACCCTAAAACTAAGTATGCCCGAAATGCCTAGCCATGCTAAGCGTTCTAGTGGTACACTCTGTAATCACAATTTTACTACATGTAAACCAAACAATAACCAAATTTCTGTAAACTCAGCATTGTAATCCTTATAGAGAATAAACTTGAATTGAATTGAATTAAGTGCATTAAGGATTTTATTTTGCGTTCTCTCGACAGGATGGTGTGCTACAATGGTCGACTTGTTGTTTTATAAAGATTACACAGCTTGTCGAGCACAGGATTGCAAAAGTCACCCCTATTGTCAGTAACAATAGATTTAGACGTGGTGTGTCGATAGATGATTGTCTCCTTGAACACATGTGCGATAGTTTCTCTGGTTTTATCTGGGATAGGGGCTGGAAGTTAGTGGGTCAACAGAGACTCGGTGTTCAGTGGTGTCAGGATAAATTTGAATTGGTTTGGAGCCCCTTACCTACATTGCCCTTGTAGAGCATATATTGTTCACAATGCTGTACATACTCACATATATGGGTTGTCACACGAGGCTAGTAGTAGTTCAACCTCACTTGCTTGATGGAGCTGTCCTCCTGGGCGAGAGACATTAGGGACATTGTGGATTAGGTGAAGGGCTGCATCCACCAAGATGGAAGGTATCATGAACTAATGAACAGTGCTACTAGACCTTCCAGTACTGACAACTCTGTACAGCAGTTTGTTATTCAATACTAAATCACTGATTTATACAGGTGACTGATAAGTTGTTGTCCTCTTTGGTCAGGAATTTAATCACACTAGACCAAATTAGAATACTTGTCTTAGCACATTTAACGCCCTCAACTGTAAAAGGAGAACTCACTTTAGTTGCAACATGACGTGACAGTGCATCAGCAATCATGTTCTACTTGCCAGACAAGTGTGCAAATGTGGGATTGAACTCCTGACTGATCAAATACTATCTTGCTGAATGTCCACTTGGTTATTTGTAGCATATGGATTAGCGGTGCATGATCTGTCATGACATGGGCTGGATGCTGATGTCTCAAAATTGTTTTAGAGCCCATAAAATGACTAATGCATCATGTTTAGTAACGGAGTAATTATGTTCATCTTGAGACTTTCCTGGCAAATGAAGTAGGATTGTTCTTGCTATCAGTCTTTGAAAATGTAATAAGGCTTAACCTTAACTCAGATGCCATTCTAAAGCTGTGATAATGACCTGTAAGGGGTGGAAAAGATGTGTAATTCTTGGCTGTCATGAAGAGGGACTTGCCTAAACCCCTGTAATGAGTAGGGTGTTGAGATAACATTGTCACTAAAGTTCCTTTAACAAGTTACGCAGGGCAGGAAGGAGAAAGCGATCTGGGATCGTCTTTAAATTGAGTCGGTAAAAACAATGATAGGGTGCTATGTTTTGCTTTCTTTGGTAGAAGGAACAGTGGTTCATTCCACGGGGAACTGCTTGGAGTGGCAACCTTTGTCCTACAGCATCTTTGTGATAAGTTCCTCATCGACTGTGCACTGAGAATGTGGAAGTCTGTAGGCAGGTATATATATTATATATGGGTCTGGTATCCGGCTCAGGGTGGATAATGATATTAAATTTGTAAGGCACATCTTTTCACCAGATAAAACAATTGCTTTTCTTAGCTTGTTTAGTGGTTGCAGAACAGAGCCACAGTAACGTGTCCACACTCTCAGACTGCAAGATTTCTGTGCCCCCCCCAGCGCTGATGCCCACCACCCACTGACTCATCCAAACAGTCTGTATATAAGGGCGAAGACTGAATACACTCTGAACAGTTACACAACATGACCCATACTCTACTGATGTTGTTATTGTTACATCTTCTGTTGTTACTATTGTTGTTGCTGCTGCTGCTGTTGTTGAACTCGTTACTGGTGTTGCTACCGTGTTGTTGTTTGCTGCTGTTACTGTTATTGCTGTTTCTGCTGCTACTGTTATTGCTGTTTCTGCTGCTACTGTTTTTGCTTTTGTTACTGTTAATGTACTTTTCGATGGCAGCAAAAGCAGCAGCAGCAACAACAGCAGTGTTAGTGATGGTGGGAAGGAGCGGTGGTGACGATCATTATGGTGTTGTGACATTAAAAATTAAGAACAATTGTACTCGTATATAAGCCGCCAGATACAACTTCTCAACACTTTAAAGGAGTTGTTATAAAAATTTGAATTGTCTGAAAATCTTTCAACGTCAGATATCTTGTTGTTTGGTAATTTTAATTTAAGACATTTAAAATGGAACAATGTAACAAATACATACTGCAATAGCAACAGTAATTCCAAGAGGAAGCACACATGAACAGTTTCTCACAAATGAACTATTTAAACTGATAAATTTGCCTCAAAGCCAGTAAATAATGGAACTGACAAGACCAGAAAATACCCTTGAGCTTATATTCATTAATATTGACGAGCAGGTACGGAATGTAACCTTGTCGATGACAGTAAATTCAGATTACAGCCTATTCCAGTTTCAGATCTGCATGCTTACTGGTCTGGAACAACAATATACTAATAGCAGTGAAAGTATTTTCACCAACTTCCACAACAAGAACATCAACTGGGATCAAAGAAACCATGTCCTTAACGAGACATATTGGGAAGATTTATTGACCGTGGCTCTGAACCAGTGTCTCAAGAGAATTAACTCCGTGGCACTAATAGTATACACCAGGTACAAACCAGTAAGGTAACGGAAGATGCAAGTTAGACAGAGATGCTCCATATACACGCGAAGGAAATCAAAGCTTCTCAGATGTGCCAGACTAACTGAAGTGCGGAAAGAAACGCTGGCTAAAGCAAGAGAGGGTAATGAACTCAGATTGAAAGAATCATTCAGAGTGCAGGAGAGAGACAGAGGGAGCTGAAAGCAGTTCATAAAACTGAAAAGAATCCAGGCCAAAAACCACATCCAGTGTCAGACCCGTGCTCAAACAGGATGGATGATACACAGATGTCAGCAAAGAAATGAGTAAAGTACTGAAGTCTCACTATAATCCTGTATTCAACGAACCGTTAATCGGACTAAAGGCTGAAAACCCAAATGAACTTTCTATGAATGAGATGGAAAACTTTACCAACATTTCCAAGGTTTCCAATGTAACCTAACCCCGCTCGGCTTCAGAGAAGCCATTGGCAGTATGCCATGCACTGTGCTCCAGTGCATGGCATACTGTCAGCCTAACCTAACCCCCTGTGCTCCAGGGGGGTTTTCATCATCGATCAGCCAATAATGAGAAACCCCCCTCCCCCTTCAGTGAAAAGAGGGGCGCCTGGCTCAAAGGTGGGTTGCGAAATTAGGAAAACTCTTGAAACAGGTCATAGGTAGTCACAGGTAAATCTAGATTATCCTTAAGTGGTCTTGCATTGTTAATGAATTATCATCAGAGTTTCAGTTGCTACAATCAGCTTCAGTACATCTGGTCTACTGTTGTATTATGTCTAGTCAGGTATTGTATTGTGGCTTGTCAGGTGTTGCATTATGGCTAGTCATGTTGCATTGTCTTGTCATGTGTTGTATTGAATCTAGTCAGGTGTTGCATTGTGTCTAGTCATGTGTTGCATTGTGTCTACTCAGGTGTTGCATTGTGTCTAGTCATGTGTTGCATTGTATCTAGTTAGTCACAGCTCTGAATCCAATTAAATCCACATTTGTAAAATACTCATTTAATTGCTTCTTAAAATACTGATTTTTTCCTGTTTGCAACTTCTCTGGGCAGTCTGTTCCAGTGTTGTGTGTGTGTTAGAGAGAGGAGAGAGAGGAAGGAAGGAAGGAAGGAAGAGAGGGTGGTAAAGAAAGGAAAGAATGAATGAATAAGGCCTACATTATATTTATTATGCTTTATGTTTTGAATTAAGTGAATGTTTTGTTTGTGTCACTACAGGCTTGAGCAAGGTGGTCTGTAAGAATGACAGTAAAGGCAACAGCAGCAAATTGGACATAGAAATGGATGCTCTGCTGCTCAAGGCTCTTGATGGCTTCCTTCTCGTCCTCTCTACCGACGGTGACATTGTCTACACCTCTGAGAACATCATCGCTTTCCTCGGCCTTCCCCAGGTGAGTCTATATATCTGTATGACTCTTCTTCAGGTGGTAGTCTTACTTTTCATTATCATTACCTGTTTTCTTACCGTTATCTTCCACATTTTCTCTGGCTATGTCAGCTTTAGTTCTGTTGTATCCTTTGCTCATGTTATTCATTATATCAGTGTTCATTTTTATCCATACATAGTCGTTTCTAATTATTCTATTTAATTTGCCATTTTGTACCATCCTCCTTTTTCTGTATGTTATCCATGGCCTTTTACTTTAAACTTTTGCCTCACTCCACTTCTTTGTAAACCTTGTGCTCTTTGTGTGGTTTATACTTTCATTCTTTTTCGTGATATCAAGTGGTCAGTGACTTCTTGGCTTATCATAAGAAGTTCTCCATCAGCACGTGTACTATGCACACTGTCTCACTTTCCATTTTTGCTTTCCCACTGCACATATCACCAGTTTTGGTTTATTTTGTCATTGGCAACCTGGCCTGACATTATGCTTTCCTGTTGATTGCCTATTCAACTAGGCTATTGCTGCATAATTACCTCCTGTACTTTTGTTTTTCTTGCATCTCTCTCTATCCCTCGTCTCTATTCCCACCTCTGCCAGGTAGTGGAAATACATGACCACGTGGTCACTGGTTTCTAGGCTACTTACCAGATTCTAGCTTGTTGGTTCCTTTAATATTTTTAGTCCTCCCTGTTATTCCCAGCTCTCACAATCTATTTCCTTTTAACTAATGTCTAAAGCAATCAGCAGTTTGGCCTCTGTTCTCTTAACTCTTTATGCTACGTCTTACAGGATTTATACCACTGCTCTACTATTCTGCTTGTACTCCTGTCTTGGTCATCACATTGAGTGGAACTCTGTAAGTTTTTGATATATTTTTAGACCCTCTTGTCTTAGTGTTTCCTCTGCCTATGCTGCACATTATTTTTAAAACTCCACATTTCTTTAATTAGCAGTAATTGGCATCTATTATCTATCCTTAGTATGTGATATCACTCAGGAAATACCTCATTTATTATCAGCCTTGTGAGCCCACTAGAGGCATGAAGGTGTTTTGCAGTAGTGAGATCATGGATATATAAGAATGCTACAGGGATCATTAATGTATGTAATGATGTTACAGGTGGATGTGATGGGACAGTCACTTTACGAATATACTCATCCGTGCGACCACGAAGAAGTGCGGGAACTCATGTCAGCCAAAGAGTTGCAAGAGCCTCGCTATGCCTTCCTCAGACTTAAGTGCACTCTTACTGCCAAAGGTCGCTCCGTCAATCTCAAGAGTGCTTCCTACAAGGCGAGTATTTCCTTCCTGTTGTCTGTGGTCCTCAGTGTGTTATAATGATGTAGTAACAGTCAGTGTTAATGTTATAATAGGTTATGTTGTAGTAACAGTTGTGCTTTTGTACATAGGAATGTTCATTCCTTAATTACTTATGCTTTTAAGAAAAAATATAATTGATAATTAGGGAGAGAGATTGCAGTCAGCAGGGCTCGGTCCCACTACAGGGAAACTGACAAGGTTCTCAAGTAATGCTCTCTACCACTCGGCAACAAATGTCCTATAAGCTGGGATGCCCAGCTTATAGGACATTTGTGTGTATATATGAGAGTGAGTGAGTTTTGCAGAAGTATATTTATTTCATAGTAACATAGAACAATAGTTTCCAAACATATTTGTTAGAGTTTATGATTATTAATGCTTTGATTTAAATTCACTCACTATCATCAGGATTTTTTGTAACCAAATACAGTATGTATGTCATTATCAAATGTAAAGAAACTCGGAAAATACTGTTCTTATTAATTAAACTTAAAAATTTATAAAAACAGCCGTTAGATCATGTTTAACACTTGTTCTGCATGACTCGGGTCTTACTGACCAACATACAATAACAGCAACAATAATAGACTAGTAATAAAAAGCAGACAAAACAAAGTGAAAGTGAAGTTTTTTTCAAATTAACAAGTTTACTATAGAATTTTTTTTCAAACCAGTTTAGGTTGTTTATTATGTAAGTTCATTAAATTTCTTCAGTCTCATCTATTCTTTACCCTATTATTGACTGCATTTAAAAATTAATATATCTCACTAAGATTCAATAATACTTGCAAAATTTAGACTGATGCTTGATAGGCTCGGTAAGATTAAGCTACTTTACATTGTATAAATTTTAACAAGCTTAGATTTGGTTACTAAGATTGTTTCGAAATTTGTACATGATGTTGATTCATTTGAGGATATAATTGCGTGTCATTTTTAGTACATGTATGTATATTTAAGAAAACTAGGGTTTTTGGCCTCCCTGGCTTAGCATTGTAAGAGGCAGACAAATTATTGATCATAACGCAGTTGATGATGTTGCAGGAAGTACTGTATAGAGCTAGTAGCAGAATTCACAAAGCTAGTAGCAGAAATTATCCTCAGGGTTATGTACATAGCATGGTTATTGAGACAGGGTAATCCAACACAGTCGAGTAGTATGGGTCTTGGGTATTACTATGTTCTGGTAGGCTGTGCCCCACAACACTTGACTAAAACCACGGGCTTGTCAAAAATATTGGTATAGGGTGGTAAGGTGCATACCAACTAATGCCAGTGATTGACACCATTTTTTGTGGGGGGAGAGGGATGAGGCACACTTCCTGTGGGTACAATTGGATGCAACATGCAAATATCAGTTGTAGGTACAGTGCTATATGTCCTCTATTCTTATATTGTTATGTGTAAAAATGGGTCCATTTTTGTATTATTTTGTGTAAAAAGGATTAAATTTGAGAAGGATCTCTGTAGCAAGGGCTGGTAGGCTTACCATCAATAGTCGGTTGACACGTGTGCTATCATAAAAAACAGCAGATAAATACAATTGTTTGAGTAATGTGTGGGGAAGTCAGCAGGTGGTGAGAGGTGGAAATAACCAGTGTGTTGGTTGACAGGTGGTGCAGGTGAGCGGAGAGATGGTAGGTGGAGAGAAGGAGGCTTGGTTGGTGGCACTGGGTTCACCTGTGCCTCACCCGTCTAACATAGAGTTCCCACTGGACAAACAAACCTTTGTTAGCAAGCACTCTCTCGACATGAAGTTCACCTATGTTGATGATGACCTAATGTTTATACTAGTGAATTGTGAATCTAGGTCTTCCTCCTTGCACCTAGGTCCTGTATATCTAGGTCCCCTACACCTAGGGCCTATGTGCCTAGATCCCTGCATCTAGGTCATATGTGCCTAGATCCCCTTCACCTAGGCACATGTATCTAGGTCACTGCACCCAGGTCTTTTTTCTTTTACAACAAGAGTAATAACTCACACCACCATCCCCATTTTTATCTTATCCTTCTTTCCAACCTTCTTATGTCCCCTTTTCAACTTTTTCACATTCCATTCTTTTTCTCCTCGGATCCAACTCTCATCTTTCTCACTCCTCCCCTCCCCTGCCCTCCCTCGATCTTTGTTCTAGGATCCCGCCGTTTTCCTCCAACATCCTCCCGCGCTGTTTCTCTCCATCTCCCCTAATTTAATAAAATCCTACCTCTTTGCCCTCCCTCACTTTCCCTCCCCACTCCCCCCCTCCTTCCTCCTCCTCCCTACCTAATTCCAACTCCCAAATATCAAGTCTGTAGAAACTGAATTTTTTTTTCCTTCTTTTGCATATTTTGCTAAATTTAATTAAAATTATTTGTAATTTATATGACATTCTCTCAGTAATTATGTGAAGTGTGTGTGTGTGGGGGGGGGGGGGTAGACTGGGGAATATGTGAAAGTGCAGGGGATTTACACCCTCTTAGCCTGATGGACCCTCTTCTACCTAGTCATGAAATTATGTATGGCATCTACCTCCACCACTTCTTTTTCCATGCCATTCCATTTTTGAAAACCTGATGTTAAAGATATATTTCCTGACATCTCTTGATTACTCTATTCCTGTTCATCTTCTCAAGCCCTCTGAATGTCTCAATCATGTCTCCTCTGAATCTTTTATCCACTAATGCCATCAAGTTCAGTTGTTGTAGTCTCTCCTTATGGCTCATTCCCCATAGCTCTGGAACTAGTCTCAGTGCATACCTCTGCACTTTCTCCAGTTTCTAAACATGATTTTTTTAGGTATGGGTTCCATTCTGGTGCTGTATATTCCATGATGGGACTGAGATATGTCATATAATGGGTCATGAATAATTTCACTTTGATTCACCAAATGAGCATTCAGTGGAGAGGATTTTTGGCTGATGTGCACCTCTGATGATGTGCTCAGCACTGTGCTCACCTTAGGATTTTCTGTTTGAATGACTTTTGCAGCTTCTGTCCCCTGAATCTGTACTTATTTTCTGGTCTTTTGTCTCCTCCACTTTTTTTTTTTTTCTAACATTGGCTGGAATTTAAGTACAGTAGCTAGTCTAATTTCTTGCTTAAGTTGGTCATCATAACATGATGACAAAGAGGGAAGAATGGAAAAGGAAGGGAAGGGAGGTGAGGGACTGGTATGAAATAAAGGAAGGAAGTTCTTGGTAAATAGTAGAAATCGAGAAAAATAATAAGGGGCATATCTACTTTGGATGGGAGAAATGTGAACTTTATTTTGTCATCAATTTAGAGAGATCATGTCACTGTTCAGTATATGAACTTTTGAGTTTCTCAGAGAATCAGAGGCTGAGGAGGTGTATATCAGAATATTCATCACACTTCACTGGGTATCTGTAGGGACACCTTAATAGTTCTTTCAGGATTCTGTCAGCTGTTTACTTTTCCATATCCAGAGTCTTATGTATTTCATGTACATTTATTGTGCACATATTTAAATCAGCAGTGTAAAAGATGATTGGGGAAAGGCCTCTCCTGACAGTAATGTCTGTCTGCTGTGTGATGTTTGTTGGCTGGAGGTTGTTCCTTGAGTTGGGTTCCCATAGACAGGGTGGACATACAAGGTGTATACACAGTGGGAAATGTTACATATGTTGACAGGTCCTAAAGGATAAACAGCAAGATTGTAATAGTATTTCAACTTATGGTATATCCTCTGGGAAGTTCATCTTTGTAAACTTACTTTGGAAGAAGAGTTATTTGATTACATTATTGTATTGATGAATTCTGGCTGGGTTACATTGTGTAGGTGAGCAAAGACGATGCTTATAAGGATCTTGCAGGCTGTATTTTTTTGGAAGATTGTAGTCAGGAGGTGCAGCAGGTATTTGGACTGATTACTGTGTGCCACCTAGGGCTTGGGCTGTTTGTTGGGTGACCTAGAGAATCTACTGAGTGTTTTCACATTGCTTGCTTGTAGTTGCTTATGTAGTATTCCTGTTTAAGGTAATCTGAGGCTTGACATCTTTTTTTCTTGGAAACCAGATCCTATCTGACAGGATACTTGACTTAAAGTTTTCAGTGTTCTCCTTTATGCTTATGCAGGATGGTGTTGCTTTATTCTTGCAGTCAGTGTCTGTGTCCTGCAATTTATCAAGATCTTTTTTTACAGCCTTCCCTTGGCTGCATTAGCTTTATTCTCATTAATTTCACATAATATACAAACAGAAAATTCTGGTTTTAGTACCTATCCTTGTGGAACCTCACCTGCTACACTTGCCCATTCTGACACCTCTTCTCGTATAATCATTCTTTATCTCCTTTCCATAAAATATTCTTTGATCCACTGTAATGCATTTCCTCTCAGTCCTTCCTTCTTAAACTTCCTCTTAGTCCTGCCTTCTCCTTAAATTTCCTCTTGGTCCTGCCTGCTCCTTAAATTTCCTCTTTGTCCTGCCTGCTCCCTAAATTTCCTCTTTGTCCTGCCTGCTCCCTAAATTTCCTCTTTGTCCTGCCTGCTCCCTAAATTTCCTCTTATTCCTGCCTGCTCCCTAAATTTTTGTCCCCATCTCTTGTGAGGTACAATGTCAAATGTTTGTTTATAGTCCAAGAATATGTAATTCCTATTCCTTTCTTTTCTATCTCAGTTTGTTTATAAATCCAGCAAGTTTGTGAGGTAGAACTTACTATCTCAGAACCATTGATAATTGCTTATGAAAGTACTTCTCTCTATGTGCTCCACTAATCTCCTAATTATCTTCTCCCTTACCTTACATAGCATGCATGTCAGTGGCACTAACTTGTAGTCTAATGCTTCCTGTCTGTATCCTCCTTTCGTAAACATTGGAACTACATTCACTGCCTTCCAAATCTCTGGAAATTGCTCCTTAGTGTTGCATTTAATTGATGGCTCAGACAGTGTTCTGCTTTCTCTCACAGAATCCATGATAACATTTTCTCGGGTACCATTGATTTTGATATATCTGGTTCAGAAGTTTCATCACCTGTTTTTCCTTGACTCTCTGGTATTGCTGACACACCTTTTTTAATCATTTGTTAACTTCTCAAAAACTTTCTTATTGTTTCTTTTGAGCTTTCCTTTCTTCCTTTTGTCTTAATATATGTCATTCTCAAATTTTCCCTTGGTTCTCTTCTTGCCAACACACATTCGTTTCTCTCCTCTGTCTTTTGATTTCTAGAATTTTTCCAGGAACTGGCTTGTTCCTGTGTACATTTTGTATGAGTGAGTGTGTGAGTGCATGAGAATCTGTTTTTAGTTGAGAGTGTATGAGAGACTCTGTGATTGAAACAAGACACCAGTAACACAGGTATTCTCCACAGTGTGGGAGAGTTTTGCGGTTATCGTGGGGAGGAACTGATGGGTCGTTCACTTTACGAGATGCACCACGCCCTTGACTCTGACCTGGTCAAGGATGCCTACAAAACCTGTGAGTACCCACTTCTTGTATTATTTCACCCTCATGCACAATATTACCACTGCTGTGTGTCATTCTGGTACACAATACCACCAGAGGTTTATTGTTTCACTCTCACATTTTCAATATTCTGCAATTTAAATTTAGTTTTCCGTTTCCACATGTAACGTGAAATTACTGTTAAGGACCTCAAGCAGAGTTAGTGGAGTGCATTACCTTAGGGAGTATCTTACTATCCCTTGGTCAAGACCATTGTTTTGGTGTGGAGGGGAAGGCCTATTATTATAATCATAACTAAGTGCTAGACCAATAAGGGAGGCCTAGCATCACTGCTTGGTGTAAACAAACTAGTCTCTTGACACATTTCTTACAATAGTCTCTCTGTGACAATCCTCTCTATTTTCATTCCTCTTATCACCTTGCTTCATCTCTGGAAGTTAATTATGGCACCCAGAAAGAATACATTGATGCTGGAGGTGCCAGGGGACAATTAAGTATGAAACTCTTACAATTTCAAGGAAATTGTGGTTGAGATTATGGTTAGTGGAGGTGGTGGTGATGGTGGTGGTGGTGGTAGTAGTGGTGGCTGGTAGGTTACTCACACAGCTAGTGTAATGTATTACACAGCTATTACACATCCTTGAAACTTAAATACTCATTTACCCATGCTAGTTGTATTTATATTGTTATTGAATATGTTGATGATTAATTAAGTGTAAAGCTGTATTAAAAGAGAAAATCATAGCGTTTATGACGCAGTGAAGACGAAGGCCACAGGTGAGAGAGAGACAGGCAGATGGGCATATAGACAGACACAGACAGATAGAGATGCGGACAGAGACAGACCACACATTCTGCCATTTTTGGCCACTGAAGGCCGTGTTAACTGTATACACTTCTGTAGCAACAAAGACAAGGAGCAACGAAAGGAAGATAATATAGACCGCTTTCTGATTACTTTTTACCTCATTCTAGGCAAGTATGTATGTGATAAAATTGCTGTATGTTGTTGGTGCGAGTGCTGGTGTTTTTGAGGGTCACTAATGCTCATGTTTCCCATTCTGTGGAAGATATGTGCTGCCTTCAGTTAATAAGTTCTCATGAAGTGCAGAAGTCCCTGGTTGGTGTAACCTCTTCATAATAAAGATATCCAGGTGTTGCACATATGTCTGAGTCATCAGCTTTTTGCTATTCTATGTCAGTAATATTTTGAAATAAACTTTTAAATTTGAGTCAACAGCTGGCTTACCCTAGGTCTTACAAATGGAGATCTGTGTAATGCATCCCTATTTTTCCCATGTTTTTTGGTCCATAAGTCATAAAAAATCATTGGTACCACAGTTTTCAGGAAAATAACCCTGGTAAATTATGACTGTCCACCATTCCCATTGCAGATGGAATTAAAAAAATATCTATGATTGGAATGAGCGATTAGCAGAGGTATCCACAGACATCATGGCAGTGACAGGAACAAAACTAATGG